TTTCCTTCCACGAGCATCCCAACCCTGGGACCCCACAACCTGGCAGCTTGCTTTTTCAAAGCTGGCAAGGAAATGAGAGATTTCATCTAAACAGCACTTAATCATATATGTCCTATCATTTTGGCCACATTCTGTTGGTTAGAAGCAAGTCGCAGGTCACTCCCACACTCAAGGGAGAGGACTGCACAAGACCATGACCATAAGGAAACACAGATCACAGAGTCAGATATAACTGATGACATAAACACTCGAGAGTCTGAATTAGGCTAGTATTAATGCAAATAGGAAGAATAAGACTCAAGAAATTAGGTCTAGGAAATATGATTTCTTGCAAATACTATGTGAAGTTCTTTGCATATATTATCTCATGTAAGCCTCAAAATATCTCTCTGAGGTAAGTGCAGGGAAAATCCTTATTTCACAGATGAAGACACAGGCATTGAAGAGTTAAGTGCCTAGATCACATACATCCTAGCTTCAAATCTGGGTGTCCCAACCTAGTTTCAAATGTAAGATGTCAGTCCCAGCGCTCACAGTCTTAGCCACTCTTCTTTACTTGGACTCTATAAAAGTATAGAGTATTTAAAGACAGATGGATAAGAAAATGTTGGAAATAACTCCAAGATTTTAATCCATTTCAACTTGGGGAATGATGATGTTAACTAAAACAGAAATGTCCTAGTGGCACTCTTAAAGTAATACTGTGCATACACTACATTCCAAGCAGTGTGCAAAGCACTCAGCATGCATGATCACATTTAATGTTCCCAGTCCTTTCCCCTATTTTATAGATCAGGAAACAGGACCACACCTGTACCCACTAACTAGTTTCCACAAGTGCAAAGAGTAGTTACTTTTTATAGCTATTTTTCTACTGATGCATAAAATAAGTTTTTGAATGAACCATAGCCAATAAATGATAGAGTCATAATCTGAATCTAGAACAGCTATAATCTCTCTGTCTACTAGAGAGGACAATGGATTCCATTGTACCCCTGGTATGTCTGACACCATAGCAGGATATCTAGATATGGATGTTCAGCAGATACCTAAATTCCATAATGGAGCTTGAGAAAAAGGTCAAGGCTAGAATAACCTATCAGGGAGCATCTATGTGGAGATTAAAAAGCCCTGAAATGGCATGAGATGATTGAGAGAGAAGGTATAAGCCCCAAAACAGAACCTTAGAGAACACCTATATTTAAAGGTTGAGGGAAGAGGTTTTTAAAAAAGCAGTGAAGACATATATGTCAAAGAGATAAGATTGAGATATAGATATAAAAGCAAAGGGGAAAGAGAAGGAAGGGTTGTTAGTAATTTCATCCACCACAGAATAACTCAGAATTAAGGCATAATAAATGAATTTGGAGGTCATATCATTGACTTTTAGATGAGCAGATACAGGAAAACAGCCTGAGTTAAGAGTCAGCTGGCAGCTAGAGGCGGCGGGGAGCTAGGCTGTGAAGTAAAGCATGGGTAGTAAGAATGTCAAGTTCACTAGTGCAAACTTCTCTGTGATTCTGGATGAGCTAGTAATAGTAATATGAGAGAGCTAACTATTTGAACAGGAGCAATTGTGTGTATGTGTGTGTTGTAATCAGAAAGGAAGGCTCAAGTGGGAAGAAACTAAAGATGGCAAAAAGAAAATAGACTACTGTTGGCATATGACCCCAGAGAAGACAAAAGGAGACCAAGATGAAGGACCACTAATAGGAAGGGCAGTATTTAGAAAGGGCAAGAGACATGTTACCATTGGAGGTAGGAGGAGAACCTGAAAGAAAATACAGAAAGGTAGAAGTTCAGTAAAAAAAAATTAGGGCATTCAAATGGAAAGTTCTCAATTTTCTTAAACATGGAGGCAAGTTCTTAGTACCTAAAAAGCAGAGGCAAAGATTTCAGGACTGGAGGATAGTAAAAAATATTTTAATTAATTGAGGCAACAGTTGACCAAAGTTTATTGAATGCCTACTCTGAAGTAATAGAAAATTCAGTAGAGAAGACAACAAAGGATAAAAATAAAAAAGCAACCAGAGGACTACAGACTAGTGGTTACTAGTGGGATGGGGGGAGAGGGGGAAGGTAGATGGGATAAAGGAGGTCAAATATAGGGTTTAGGGGGAGGGTGAAGTGGGTAAAGGAGACCAAATATATGGTAACTGAAGGAAACTGGACTTTGAGTGGTAAACACACAATAGAATATACAGATGTCAAATGATAATGTACACCTGAAAATTATATAATTGTATTAACCAATATCACCCCAATAAACTTAATTAAAAATTAAAAAATAAATAAAAATAAATAAGCATAACCAGGGACCCAACTGAGAACATGAACATTTAATAGAACCCAGCAGCATGGTTTCATAATTTTGCCCAACTTCTGAAAAGTGGTTATTGAAGGAAGTTGCTGATGCTGCACAGGGTTGGGAACTGAAGTGGCGAGAATGGCAGACAAGCCTGGAGGAAAGAAAAGTTGGATTCCAGAGGCCACAAAAGACAATATTGGCATGGTCTAAGCTGAGTGATGACATGAATGAACACTGAGTCAGAATCTAAAGATTGTGATTTGGGTGTGGAGCAAGTTATCAGAACTGAAGAAATAAAGTGCTTGCAATCAGAAAAGGAATACTCTAAATTTAAAACCTTTAAGTAAAATAGTTCCAGATCAAGCAAATTATATCAAGTGCCCTCTCTGCCATTTCAGAGGTTAAATAAGGAACTATGAAGCCAAAGTATTAGATGGGCCAGATGTTAAATGAATGAGAGGGGGTGGAAAAGATGACTGACCAGACACCCAAATCTTCCCAGGACGAGTGGAGTGTTATGAAGGAGGCCGTACAGTAACAAGGATAGGGCTTGGATGTCAAGATTCAAAAATAGAGGTCTAAACATGACAATAGGGGATAAAAATGTTTTCGAGGCCAACTGGGCCTTCAGATGCAATTCAGATTTCAATTAAGGTCAAGAGTTGAAGTTAAACTTAAGAATCAATCTAAGACCATAGGAAACTGCTTCACCATGTAACTATGAGGCAAAATCAGTAGGCAGTGACTGACAGAGAAGCAAGCAAGGATGCATAGCAGGAAGGGAAAGGGTCAGTTGGAATCAGATATAAGAATTGTTCCCTCCCCTCATCTATCCTATCACCCCTTTATAGGTGACCCTTCCAATTCTTAAAATTATCTGTAGAGCATTATCCCCATTTTACAAGTTAATAAATCAATCAATCAATCAATCAATCAATCTGGTTCTAGGACTTGAACCTTGTCCTGACTGCAAAATCTAAAGTCTACCATAACACAATGACTCTCAGTGGTCTTAAAGCGTTCCTGTAGCTTTCAAGGACAAACTGGAAATCATGTCTGACTTATATGAAATGGGTATGAGAGACAATGTATTTCTTTTTATTTTTTATTGAGTATAATTTATATATAACATTAGTTTCAAGTATACAACAGGATTTGGTATCTGTATATTGCAAAATGATCACCATATTAAGTCTAGTTAATATCTGTCACCATACTTACATTTTTTTTTTCTTGTGATGAGAACTTTTATGATCTATTTGCTTATCAACTTTCAAAGATGCAGTATGGTATTTGTTAACAGTAACCTCCATGTTGTATATTACATCTCCATGACATGTCTTTTATAAATGGAAATTTGTACCTTTTGACCTAGTTACCCACCTATCATTCTTGGCAACTACCAGTCTGTTCTCTGTATCTATGAGCTCAGTTTTTCTTGTTGGTTGTTTTAAAATTGCACATATAATTAAGATTATAATGGTATTTGTCTTTTTCTGCGGACTTATTCCACTTAGCATAATGCCCTCAAGATCCATCCATGTTATCATAAATGACAAGATTTCCTTTTTATTGCTGGATAATATTCGTGTGTAAGAGAGTGAGTGAGTCACATTTTCTTCATCCATCAATAGACACTTAGGTTGCTTCCACATCTTGGCTATTTTTAATAGTGCTGCAGTGAACATGGGGGTGCAGATATCTTTTTGAGTTAGTGTTTTCTTTAGATAAATAGTCGGCAGTAGAATTGCTGAATCATATGGTAATTCTGTTTTCCATAGTAGCTAAACCAATTTACATTCCCATCAACAGTTCACAGGGGCTCCCTTTTCTCCACATCCTCACCAACACTTGATCTTTTTTATTGTTTCATGAAAAGGCCCTGTATGCAAAGCAAGCCCCCTAAAGCCAAAGGAGCCTAGTGGCCACAAAAAAAAAAAAAAAAGACAATTCCAGCTTGTCGGTTTAGAGTTTTAATAGGGAATTTACTCTTGGAAACAGTCTTAGGTGGCAGCAAGACAGAAAATGAATCCCCACACCATTCACCTCCCCCCTTCCCAAACCATTTGTTTTATGCCCCTCTAAGAAATGGACCTACGTATTCCAAAAGGAACACAGGAGTGAGGGAGGGGAACGAAGAGACCAGATACCAGGGTCTCTGGGACCAGAGCAAGTTAAACATTGAGGGTGCCTTGCCCCAGAGGAAGGGCTAAACAGTGGAGGAAGGATTAATGGTAGTTTGTGATTACCTCAAAGCCTTGTGTACATTCCAACGTCCATGTAGGGGGTGGGGAGGATGTAGGCAGATTAGTTTTAAAATGGTTTTGATTTGCATTTCTCTAATGATTAGTGATTTTGATCACCTTTCCGTACCTGTTGGCCATCTATATGTCTTTTGAAAAATGCCTATTCAGATCCTCTGCCCATTTTTAATCAGATTTGGGGTTTTTTTGCAATTGAATTGTATGTACAATGTATTTCTTTGTGTTGCTCATGAATTATATTCAGCTCTTAAAAGTTCTATATGAGTTTTATCTAATACTGTATATTAAAATCTTAATTTTTTTTTCAAGAAAAACATTTTGGACCCTTTTAATGATGTTAAGAAATTTCCAAATATATCCTAGATGATTTCATTGAATTTCTGCAACTATATCCTAAAACACTAAGTTTATATTGCATTATTTTTCAGGTGTGAAAATGAAACCAAATTTAAAACAGAAGAAGTATTTTGGGCTTACAATTTCTGCCCTACACCATACTCCTGGACTGCACTTCTGGGCCTTATTTTATATCTTGTTTTCTTCGCACCTGGTAAACAAGGCTTTGTTGTTATTGTTATGTTGTCTCTTTTTAGAGGAGACAAGCTGTTCTTTTTAAAGTTCCTTACATACTGCTTTGTCAAAATTTTTAATTTGTATTTCTCAGGAATGGGACCAATGCCTTGGACTGTGAATTCTGAAATATATCCCCTTTGGGCAAGAAGTACAGGAAATGCATGTTCATCTGGAATAAACTGGATTTTCAATGTTCTGGTTTCACTGACATTTTTACACACAGCAGAGTATCTTACATACTACGGTAAGAGAATATTTTTTTCCAACTATATTTTTATTTCTCCTACTATGTTTTTAGATATGCTATCATTAGTGATGGAAAGGCTAGGTCGTTGTATTTTTGCTGTTATATTTCTCTGTGTGGCTTCCTTGTCCCGAGTCCTTGGAGATGCAGATGGGAAAAGGTAAAAGGAATTCTCCTTCCTAAGCAGCGTTATTTTATGTCCCTCTGTGCTATCACCCACCAACCCTCCCAACCCAAACATCTCCCCAGCTGGAAATCTTCACAGCATGGCTTTTAGCTTAATGAAGGAATATAACAGAATGGTAGAAAGATGTAGGCAGGGAGTCTAGGGCTAATGTTTGAAAATGTCCCATGACAGAGATGGAGTCATATCCAAAAGAGGAATCAGAGTAGACTGAAAGTGGGTCCCCCAAATGTCATACTGTGAGTTATACCTTCCACAGTTTCATCTATGCTGTTCAAGCCAAGGCATGTGCATTTAAGTGTCTGCTGAGACCAGCACTTACCACTGCCAGAACTGTAAACATGACAGTAGTGTTCAAGTGAAAAATATGTGGGAACTATACCTCAAAGAAAACAATATTGAGAAGTGGCCAAGTTAGGAAAAAGCTGGGAAGCAACTCCAAGTCCATTTTTACTGAAATGAAGAGTTTGTCTTTTTAGAATGAGGATTTCTTATGAGTTGTGATTGGATTCTAAATGATGAAATATGAGGTTTTCATTCTAATTTACTCATAAGCCTTTGTAGTTTATATGGAATATCTACTGCTTAGACTATTCTCTGATCCTCTTCCCCCATCACTCACCTCACTTCATCCCATGCTCTGGCCATTTATAATTTCTTTTTGCAAGAGCAGGTTTATTTGTCAGCCCCCTCTCTCACTTCCACCCCTCTCTGCTCCCTTTGGCTCAGGCCAAGACTAGGCCTTGTTTACAGTGCCTTCCAGAGCATCCTATTCACTTGATAAACATTCAAAAATGTCTGTCAAAGGAATAAATATATAGACGAATTTTGTAGATGAATGATTAATATGAGGAAACATTATAAAAATTGATTCCTCCTCTCTTCTGAACATGCTGAATTGGCATTTACTTTTATCTTTATAAAACTCTTCTCCCACTCAATCACCAGTTAGAACATTTAGAAATATTTATTTTCTTGGAAAGTAAATGCACTGGCACTTTAAACTGGATATATATTTAGCTTTATCCCATTTGGCAATTAAAAATTTTTACCTAAGTAAAACTTACCATCCTGATACCATAAATATGAACACAATAAATATTTACCCATATATGCTGATTCCTGAGAACGCTTAAATATTTTAAGACCTAAGTATAGAGTAACATCCTGAGAAAGCATTTTTTATATAAAGTCATAGACCAAATAATAAAAATCTACATGGTAAGAATTTTGACAGCAAAGCTCCTCTTTCTTGAATTTATGCTTCCAGAGAAACATGAGGCAACAGATGTAAATTTTAAAAAGAGCACAGCCAGGCTTCTTTCAAAAATATCCAGTTAGGAGAAGATTTTGCTTTGCATTAAGGCAAGCCTCGATCAGGTCAATGCACTGGTCCATGAGGTCTACTGCTGGCTAGTAGTGGGACAATATTTCAGTTTAGGTTAGTTTTTCCATCTTTGATCTACATTTTGATCTACATGTTACCGATTTATGTAAAATGTGTTTATAGTCCTGATTTAATGAACATATACAAAAATGATGTATTTCTCTGGAAATATCCATATCTATTTCGTTTCATAAAACCTCAATTTTGATTCTTTCCTAAACTATACTGCTTAAGATAGGTCTGCTTTGGACCCCATTCAGTAATGTTTATTACTAAAAATTATCATTAAAATGTATACTATATTTTATGTATAGCACATGTGACTAAATAGGTCCCTTGGAGAGCATTATATCAAAGTTCCTGTGTTGAGGAATTGAAATTCAACTTAACACAGTCTCTGAATCCTCATTTTGTATAATTCAATTAAATATTTGTTTTAATCCAAAATTTAATATAGGACTCCATATTTAGTCATTTAAACTAAAGCTGATGAATATCTATAGACTTGGTACAGACATTTTTTTCATTTTCATTCCAAGAGGGAATAATAGTTACATAATTGACTTGCCCATTACATGGAGCAGATCACAACCCTTCCAGCTTTCCTACACCTTTGTTGACCACAGGTCTCACCAGTGAAGACCACGTGGGTGGTTTTAATATTTGCCTGTTTAGATTCCTCAGATTTTGTTAAAGGATCCTGTGTTTTAATAGAACTTCCTTGATATTATTTGACTTTGGGAATCTGGGTCACAAGCAAGAAGCTATATGGCCTTTAAGAATCTTCCTAATCCATCTAATTAACGCTAGGCATTTATACCAACATTTTGGATTAGTTATTTCTAATCATGACACTCTTCTTAAATTGTGAAAGATGTCTCTCCTTAATATTTCATTTTATAAAGCCCGTCTACTTTGTTATAGAGTTTAGCAGCCTGGTTTAATCTAAAATATTTTATCATATATACTTATATATTCTTTTATCATCATCCTTTGTCTCTCCCACTGAACATTCCATTTGTTCTTAACTCTACAACTCTGATTATCTCCTTTTCTTCAAAATTTCCACATCTTCCCAGAGCTAGCTTGTCAGTATCACCCTTTTGATGAAAACATTCCCAATTTATTAGTATACTAATCTTGTTCTGTTCTGCTTGATGAGTTTTGTTAGAGGCTTATCAATTTTATTTATCCTTTCAAAGAACCAGCTCTTAGTTTCATTAATCATTTCTATTGTTTTCCTATTTTGTTTATTTCAGTTCAGATCTTTATCGTTTACTTCTACTTCAGGTTTTGTTTGTTCCTTTTTATAGTTTAGCTGTAAATTTAGATTGTTTACTTGGGATTTTTTCCTGGTTCTTGAGGTAGGCCTTTATAGTTATTAATTTAACTCTTAACTGCTTTTGCTGCATCACATAAATTGTTTTTATTTTGTCAAGATAGCTTTTGATTTCCTCTTTGATCCACTGATTGTTTAGATGGATTTTTTTATTCTTCACATATTTTCCAGTTTTCTTATAACTGATTTCTAGTTTTGTGCCATTGTGGTTGGAAAATATGCTTAATTTCAATTTTCTTGAGGCTTGTTTTGTGGCCTAACACGAAGTCTATCTTGTAAAATGTTACTTGTACACTTGAGGAAAACGTGTAACCTATAGTTCTTGGATGAAATGCTCTATAAATGTCTATTAAGTCAAACTAGTCTAATGTGGCATTTAAGGCCATTATTTCCTTACTAATTTTCTGTCTGGATGATCTATTAAGATAAGTATTAACTATTACTGTTAATTTCTGCCTTTATGTCCATTAATATTTGCATCTATGTTGAGTATGTAGATATTTACAATTATTATTACCTCTTCTTGTATTGACCCTTTTGTCATTATGTAATGTCCTTTTTTGTCTCTTTACATTCTTTGTTTTGAAGTCTATTTTGTCTGATATGCATATTGCTACCACCGCTTTCTATCTGCATGGAATATCTTTTTTCCATCCCTTCACTTTCAGTCCATGTGTCTTTCAATCTAAAGTCTCTTGTAAGCAGCATATAGATGGGTCATGGTTGTTTCTTTTTTTAATCCATTCTGCCACCCTGTCTTGATCGCAGCAATTTAGTCCACTGACATTTAGAGTTAATTATTGATAGGTATGTGCTTATTGCCATGTTCACTGTTTTTGGTTTTTGTTCTTTACTGTTCCTTCTCGATCTTTGATTTGCTGGTCTTTAGAGATTTGATTGGATTCCTTTCTCATTTTTTTATTTTTTGGTTTGTGGTTACCATTCATGCTTATCCATCTTTAATAGTCTATTTTGCACAGGGCTGGAAATGTTGCCCATTCTCACCCAGTCAGCCAAAAACCTTCATAATTTATAGGACATTTGACAGATTACTCAGAAAGATCATGCCTTGGTAATAGGGGGAAATTAGCCCTAAGTCAGTGCTGCTCAGGTCCTGCCTAATAAACATGGAAAAATATTCCTGAAAGGATAAAACTATCTCCAAGTAACATAAGCACATGTCAGAAATAAGCTCAAGAATATTTTATGGATATAAAAAAATTCAACACTCCACCAAAAAAAAAAAAAAAGTTTAATCACATTCTAAAAGTACATTTTACTCCCCCCTTCTTTGTTTTTAACATCAGGTTTTATATGTTTTGTGTATACCCTGATTATTTCTTTAAGTTAGTTTTGCTACTATTGTCTTTTAACTTTCATATTAGCTTTTTAAGTGAATGATTCACTGTAATTATTGTGTATTTGCCTTTAAAAGTGAGATTTTTTTTTTCCCTTATTATTTCTAGTTATGGCCTTTAACATTTCTCGTAAGGCCAGTTTAGTGGTTGTGAACTCCTTTAGTTTTTGCTTGTGTGGGACTCTACCTCTCTCCAATGTTAAATGATAATATTGCTGGATGAAGTATTCTAAGTTGCAGATTGTTTTAATCCATTTTCTGTTTAGAAAAAAAAAGTGCAGCTTGCTGCCAGGGTTCATTTTACATAAACACATTCTTTGAGGCTGAAGCAAATCTGACTGGTTTTCAATTTGAAAATAAATACAAAACTGTCTTTGGAATTATTTCTAAACAGAACTTGTCTCTAATCCTAATGTAACAGAAATGTATACATAAATTAGATTCATCAAATAAATCTTCGGCTAATAACTATTGGATAACGATGTTAACATCGCATGTAAGAACGCTACATTTTCTAGGATCCAGCACTTTGAGCAATCAAGAATTACACTTTGTAAATGGAAATACCAGTACTAAAAACAAAATGCTATAAATTGAATGTCATTTGTTCCCAAACACTATTGCTATACTAGAGCGATGCCAAAATAATAATAAAAGTGAGATATTTTGTGGCAAACTTTAGGAGTAAGGTTAGGACTGTAATTTGCGAGTTATATCAGGGTAAATACTGCAG